AGTGCATGTCAGTTCATACAATCATTGTTACAAATTGCTTACACGTGTGTTTTTGCAACATTATTAAAACTGACTTGTTGAACCTAAACTTAAATCCAACTGTTCCAATATAAATCATCTTGTAATGAGCATATCTAATTCCTCTATGGGAATGAACAGTATAATGAATGCAATATTTTATCCTGTTTTAGTATTTGGAATTGATGTATGCCAAAAATATGAATGCCATACCAAGCTTAGGATGTAAGATCAACTATGACAAGGTTATAATATATAGTAGCAAATCTAAGAAAGTGCAATGAACTCTCCTCTAACCTTTAGTTGTGTGTGTATATATAATCCAAAAAATACAAAATTAATTTTATTGAAATCCCACACTAGTACTAATAACATTAAATTACAAAAAGTTATATGATTCGTAGGATGCAAAGGTAAATGTTACACATGTTCAGTTCTCATCTCCCTCTTTTGATCTATTTCCTTTTTGTATGAGCTGACTGCACACATTTTAACAAACGTATTTATACAGCAGCCAGAAAGGAAATAGCACGAGTAATATAATTTCGTTCCTGTTACCCTATATAAACACCATTACACTTTCTGGATGCGAACCTCCGTTGTATGTACTAACTGGACGAAAGATATTTTAGTTTCTTGGTATTATTGATCACGCAAAGATATCATACGTTTCTTCGTGAGAACAACGTTAATACTGTGAGAATTATTGAAGACCATTTGAATTTTATCATTTGAAATTAAATGAACACCGATAACAACTCTGTTATAATAAGGGGTTGTACTAATCCGGTGTTACAGACGGTCGATTGCCCCCCCTAGAATCATCTTCTGAGTGTGATTCTAACGTGGACAGCGAAGTGTCTTCCCACTCGCTTCATTATCAGACAGGTTGGTTATTTTTTCTTCACATCTTTCCTACACCCTTATTTAACCATCGTCCTTCTATTTCAATAATGAACGATGTTAGAGGAATTGTTTGAAGCACTTTAGATTTGACTCCCTTATACATATTGCCTATATGGTATTTCGTATCATGTCTGGTTGGTGTGGCATCCTTGCTTGGTGGGATCTTTAAGTCTCTTTACATATTGGATCGTTTATTAATTGTACATGTAGAAATGAAAAACAGACATTCAGATTGATGTTTAGTCTACCAAAAATCATCTGTTAATACTACTATTTCGTGAAAACTATATTTTATAAAATATGCTCATCTAAGTGTAAAATTTTTGTTAATTTGTTAATTGAACTAAACGGCGATTTACAGTAATTCCTGCCGGTACCATCCAAATCGCAACGCAAGCAGAAGGTGTCCCTGGACTTCACACGCTAACAATGAGTAACGCGGCAACAGCAGGTGGAACTATAGTACAGTATGCACAGGGCCAAGATACACAATTTTTTGTTCCAGGTGCGCGTTTTTTCATAGTTTTTTAACATTTTACTTCTAATACGAACTGAGTTTCAACATTTTTTTTATAATTCTTTTATACGCTACTCTTTAAATTTATAAATTAAGCAACATCGATTATGACCAAAATAATTACAAATTTGGGGAATACAGTCTCTGGCAATGTTCCAGCTTATACAGGACACACAGTTGTAGTAGAAGACGCAGCTAGAAAAAGGGAATTAAGGTTGCTTAAAAATAGGTAGGTTTGGACCATCTCATACATTTGAAAAAGTTTTCTACCAAGCTTCCTAATGTGTTTCGCTTAATTAAATTACATAGACAAGCAGCCCGCGAATGCAGAAGAAAAAAGAAGGAGTACATCAAATGTCTAGAGAATCGGGTCGCGATATTGGAGAACAGGAATCAAACGTTAATAGAAGAGCTGAAATCGTTGAAGCAGCTATGCGTACCAAAAACTGACTGAGGTTGGTGCTTAACACTGGATTCTTGTATGAAAACTATTAACCTGCTAAAAAAACTTGTACATGTCTTCTTTATGTACATTATCCTAAATGTTGTTAGATAAGCAAACGGTGATGTACATGCATTCTTATAAATAAGTGTTTCTGTAACATACTGTATTTAAAGAAAGGAAAAGCGCGAATCATAAAGGCTTGTGAAACTTGCTATTACTAAAGCGAGAAGCCAAAGGTATATGAGGTACAGAAGAAGCAAAACTTGTAGGCAATATTCTGGAAGTCAATCTATATTTTGGATAAACTTAACGATCGGGGGTGCATTCGAATTATTAATGTTTTAATGTTCGAAATATGTATTGATAAAGGGAACGAAAAATGTTATCGTGTTTATAGAACATATTCATTTAGATTGCAGTGATTATGTGATGTCGAATGGTATACCTGTCGTACCGGTTCCACATTGAACATTTCACAGTCGTGTAGTTTCATCGTACTTTAAAAACTGACGTTAGGAGTTTCAAAAGGATCATAAAATAATGGAACAATGGAAGTACGTTTAGTAGTCAATTTATAATTAAAATAACTGATCGCTGATACACGAATCGCCTTATACACAATATTTGCTAACGTAATTTAGAAATTAGATACAGCTGTGAGTTAAAGGTCACATAGTTTCTGCGTAAAAATGAAATGAGCATAGTTGTTAGATAACAGTGTCTATATAGTTTTTTTTTCAATATATCTTTATTCTTTTATACTTGGGAGGAGCGAGTGAAAGCTGAAAAGAAATGTACGATCTTATTATAGAAGTCTTTAAAGCTTAAACGAAGATATAACATGTAAATAGGAAATATAGATCGAAATTTTCCTTGTTTCATTGTAGCTGGTCGTGCAGGGTGTTCGGTTATTAGTGGGAAAAATTTCAACAAGTGATTATAGAAGTCGAAAGTCGAGAATAACAAAATTGCGTTCGATGCTCCATTCTCTAGTTATAAGAGATTAAAAATTGCATCTAATATCCTATGGTTTTCAACGGGCATAACGTACGTTAAAAATTCTAAATGCTAACATACTTTCTAGCGTTTGCTTTTAGACGCACGTTGTATCGTGAGAACTAGTGCCGAACTAGAAGTAATTTTTCATCGCTTGACACTCAAGAAATGAAATCTCGAACGCAGTATTCTTAGTTTCAACTTTTGTCTTAGAATCACCCTTTAAAATTTTTCCCACCAGTAATCGACCATCCTGTATAGCTATTATATAGGTATGTAGCTATATGATTATATACGGCGATCGAGGAAAGGAAGCAGTGGTTGAAATGCTCTTTCATCTGAATTTACTTTCTACATTAAGATGCCTCAAATGCGAGAAGCTAAAAGTGAACATGTAAAATATGAATGTAATATATGATATATATCTGGAGTGCCTTGAAGATTTCTGTATACACGTGACACGTGGTGTGTAGGAATAAACGCGCGCACGCGCGCGCTCGCGTAATGTACGTATTACATTTACGTAAAATATGGGTACATATAATATTTTTAAACTATATAACTATGTTATACCCTGTTCTGCAACACTGTCGAACGGCTACGTTAACACGCGTATTGAATGTTTATTCAAATATGTTCTCATATTTTCTATAAATTAAATAAAACCATCAAGTTGCTACTGTATTTTCACGTACGGTGTATTGTAAACCACATTTATGTTTTACTGGAAAGTAGTAAGTGTCTCCCAACAATCAATGATTATTCTGCGATGCATTTTTTCATACAATTAGCGTTTTGTTGCTTAAGTACGAACAATACTTGGCATGTAATTTTGGCTGCTATGCTAGCAAAAAGAGAATATAATTTCATTTACAAAAAATCCAGTTTAATCATTCGACAATTCGATACGTTTAAGAGTTAATTATAGTTGATACGAAAAAAGTGTATAATTACGTTTCACAGTTGTTAAATGATTTGTATAAAAAGCGTATTAATGCTTATCTTCATACTGCTTGTATACATATCTATCTTTTGTATAAATAATACATATTTTTTTTAGTAAATATAGATCGATCAGAGTAAGTAGACTTTTTTTATGATATATGATTTGTAAAATGATTTCTCACAAAATTTCACATTTTGGCTACACAAAATAAATACAATTATACTATGCCCTTACACGTTTAACGTTTGTAATCTATAGTTGAACAATTCTAATCGATTGAAAAGTAGATTGTTTTTCAATTATCCTAGGTATAAACAATGAAAGTACAATGTACTTATATGGTAGCGTGTTACATGTATGTTTCTTCGTTGTAAGTTTTTTCTCCAACCGATACAAGTCTAATTTAGACGAAATAATATGATGCACAGTTTCACGTTTGTATTCCTAATGTTAATTATATGTACGTAAATTTTAATTGCTGCTGCACTTATAATATGAAATATTGTACATAGGTAATATATGTATTTTTACATATCACATGTGTTTAAAAAAAAAAAAAAAATATAGCTGAGAAACCTCTTTACGTAAAATTTTTGCTAAAACAATATAGGGGTGAGTAGAATCAGGGATTAAAAACAATTAGGATAGATTTACTATATACGAAAATGTTTATTCAACAAATATTTATCATTCTATATTTTCACATTAGATGTTCCTGTTATAATTGATTGTTCTCTTAGCTGAAACATAAAAAATATTAGAAAATACATGGTCCCTAAGAATTATATATACTTATTTTTATTGTAAGTTTGAAGTTCAGTTGGTAGTGCATGTAAGAAATAATCACTGGTTCATAAGACGTGGTAGAATTTATCATCATACTCATACTCGAATATTAAACTTTACAAAGCAGAATAGCCACTTATACTAACCAGAGTACGAAAGTAGTTGCACCGTAGAATTCTTCAATTCTTCTTGCGAGAGCTTCTGGAAACAAGACCAACGACTTAAATCGACTGATAAAATCAAGATTATGTTTATTTATTGAAAACATGATTCAGTTGGTAGTGCATGTGTATATAATTAATCAGAAAATCATGTAAGCGGTAAATGAGTCATCATACATTCTTCTAAATTTACCATATCAACGCCTCCTATTTATAAGATTGTATTTCCGCGAATCTATGGAGAATGATCGAATTTCAGAAATAATTCAACACAAACATCCATGCAACATTATATTAACGTCGAACACAAAATTTTACATTGACTTAATACAACGTTGGTGTACCAATATCAGTTACAATCATATTGAATTATCCCTAAAAAGATCTAAAATTAATTACCTAATTATATTGTATACGTCCGCCGAGATATGATCTTGTGAATAGAAGGCATCGATATTGTTATGGTAATTGTGAGTAATAATTAGATATATTTATTTACCTGAACATTATTATTCATGCACACTGGTTAACAGCCTTGCATACAATATTAAGTTTAAGCATTCGAGAGATAAAAGATCAGTTAAATAAAACGTACACACACAGAAATATTGAATCGTTATTCGCGATGCGTTCAGATTACAAAATCCTGCAAAATCCTAAAGGAAATGATTGGAAATGATACAATGTGCGTGCGTGCGTACCGGATTTGTATTGCGTAGAATATACCCAAATATACCGTAGTCGGTAGTAGCGCCATCTGCTGCTCTGGCATTTACTTCCGACAAAGAAATGTCAAAGGTTAAATGTAAATCGCAAAAGTAATCAAGTAATCAGTGATAGGGTACAAACGAAGGTTTGTATTATTTTTCAATTACATACATATAAAATCATATACCTACTCATTTTTGTATTGGACTTGAAAAAAACATTTTTCAAGTCGTTATCCAAGATTTACAAAAGACAAATGGTATATACTAATAATTGTCGAGACAATAAGTTACTTACGTTTAACGTTTTATTTTTGGGTAAAATTACCTGTTTCTCAAAGTATTTCTCATGTCACAATTTTGGTCTTAGAAGACAGTGAAAGACATAATAAGGATTTGAAATAGATTTTCAATCTCCTGGTTTCCTCTGATGTAACCTGTTTCAATAAGTGGTACATTTTTAATTTCACAACCAGATTTGATTTTATAAAAGATTATTGACTTTTGAAAAATTCAAAGTCAAATTGTCTATC